CATTCTACTTTTTTAAGGTTGCGTGTTGGTATCCAGTAATTCTTCTGTTCAGCCGAGCTATTTTCTTGCGGTGACCGTTGGTTTGGAACGGGTTCTAGGAAGGTGAATGGGGGTTTAAGCTGTGTTTTCGGTTTTAGTTTGTATACTTTCGATGCTTCTGACGTTTTAGCTGGTGCTGTGATTCTCGTACCCGACATCTCAGTTACTGAAAGAGGTTACTCTTCATGACATTACTATTGCAAATAATACAGATTTACATTACAGTCAAGGCAACGAAGTGCAAGGAGATATCCTTTGAAATTGTAATGACAACAACATTAACTTATATATTAAGATATCCTTGCGATCTTGACTGCAGTTACTGTAAAACTTACAACATACAATAGTGATCTTTTTGTTACACGATCGTAGTAAGCATCGGCATCATTTATATAGAAACTTGTAAATCTGATATATAATCGAAGACTAACAATAAGACAGTGCGTGCTATTTGTGATAAAAAGAGCCACATTAAAAATATAAGGCTTTATTAACAAACTTTTATTCCAAGTTGTGACAAAATAAAACAACAGCAACAAAGATGCCGCTCAAAACTAGGTTACGTGAAAAAGATATTTAAAGGTTCTATGAAACACTAAATATAGTGGTGAGTGCATTTGCCTACAAAAGTCCATACAGAGTCAAAGATTCCCAATCTTCAGTATGTAATGTCCAGCCCTTTGTTTGACGTGATGTTGAAATTACACTCGTAAATTTAGGTTGAAAATTAATTTATATACTTCCGCGATTTTCCCTAAAGAGTCACAAAGTGGCAAACATTATATCATTGCTACCGTTTATGTGTGTATTATAATATGCAATATGTATGTAACCAAAGTGAAATCTTGTATTAGTTTATGTTGATTCTCGGTCGAATCCTAGGGAGACTCTCCCTCCTATCTGCTAATTGCCGTGGTATCTACGCCGCAGGAAGGGCGGTCAAACGGGCGTGGGGAGTCGGAATTATACAAATTCGGCAAAATATTGCCCGCAGGTGAGACACAATGCGGCAGCCGAACATTTGAAGCGATTGCTCCTGGATTTTCTTCTCTTCTTTCTTACTTTCTGTTTAATCACTTCATTTCACTTTCAAATTAGCGGTACAAGGCTAAACGCATTGAATTTTTCCATTATTAGACTGTAGCTTAGTTATCTTGACTATGAGCAGTAAGCACTATAGCAGTATGTAAATACATTACATACGTTTTATGTATTTATTTGTTCCTATAGCTAGTAAGAAGAACAGATTGACGCGATACTATCAGGCATATTTGCTTTTTCATTTTTACAGTCGGCAATTTTACATGATTAATGAAGCCCGTGGTCCGTTTATTAAGACTACAACTTATAGTCTTTAATGTTTCATTACTATGTTTTTATAATGAATTAATTAGCTTCCTACGCGTTTACGTCCATCATATGGCCGTTTCGTCTGCGATGACTCAAGATTATAATGTTTACTAAAGTGAAATGTGGCACCCTGCGGTAAATGAGTTTGACAGCCCTGGCCTTATATATATATTTACATATCACCCGTACATGTTACATTAAAACAGCGGAGCTTAGTGCCGATGGTGATGATTATGATAGTAATGATATCGATTTAAAAAAAATGCAATTATCAATATTATTATCTTTATTATTGTTATTATTATTATTATGATGATGATTATTATCATCATTATCATTAAAATACAATTATTATTATAATTATGGAATGGAAGTGTCATTATTAATCAATGAAAAAACGGTTATCGTTTCATATATATAAAGATATTGGGGAAGCATCATGTGACCATTTGTGTTTAAGTGCTTCACTATTTCGGATCATCTTTTTTATTGCTTGAGAATATCTCAGTGAGGATAAACTTCTGCGTGCAAATGAAATACAAGTAATATCTAGTATTATATTTTTTTGACTTTTGTAGGTAAATACAAATGATATCTAAAATTATAATCTTTTACGATTTATAGAATATAATACAGTGTGACCATTGAATATCCATGGAGATTATATGTATATATATATATATATATATATATATATATATATATATATATATATATATATATATTTATATATTTATGTATATTTATATGCGTGTGTGTGTGTGTGTATTTGTATGGATATGTATATATATGTATATATAATTTATATATATTAATATATATATGTGCATATATATATATATATATATATATATATATATATATATATATATATCATTCTATCTATCTATCTATATATATTCATATAAATATATATACATACATATAAATATATATATATATATATATATATATATATACATACATATATATATATATATATATATATATATATATATATATATATATATATATATATATATACATATATATATATATATATATATATATATATATATATATATATATATATATGCTGCAAATGGTATATTCATGTTATATATAGCAGTATTTGTGCATATATGTATATATATATATATATATATATATATATATATATATATATATATATATATATATAATATATATATGTATATATTAATATATATATATATATATATATATATATATATATATATATATATATATATATATATATATATATACATATTACACACAAACGCACACACATATAGGTGTGTGTGTGTGTTATATATACTTTTTAGGCTATGAGTGGAAAAACGTGTTATACATAGCAGTATTGTATCTTGTTTCGGTAGGTTAAAGTGGCAGCTGACCTGGTATTCTTGGCATTCCCTGCTTGTAAAATTATGTTCATTAATAGAAACAATACCTGAAATTTAATGGAAATTATTATGATTTTTGGCAACTTGATTAAATAAATTAACTCATTTTTACATTCGTTAGAAAGAAATTATAAGATTGTTGGCCGGCTTTTGTATTTACGTCAAACTTAGGACAAATATTGTTATATTTCTCCTAAGAAAGCGTTCATTCTGAATATGAATACTCGTAGACAGTAAATTTGGTAAACAAAAACGACACATTAAACGAACTTAAGTTGTACAATCAAACATATACATTTTCTCTTTACATTCAATTGGTGTGTGTGTGTGTGTGTGTGTGTGTGTGTGTGTGTGTGTGTGTGTGTGTGTGTGTGTGTGTGTGTGTGTGTGTGTGTAATACATATATATATATATAATATATATATATATATATATATATATATATATATATATATATACATATATATATATATATATATATATATATATATATATATATATGTATATATATATATATATATATATATATATATATATATATATATATGTATATATATACATATATATATATATATATATATATATATATATATATATATATATATATATATATATATATATATGAGTGAGTGTGTGTATATATGTGAATCTATACATTATATATGTATTGGTGTATACACGCACACACACACAAGCACACACACACAGACACACACACACGCAGACACACCCACACACATATTTGTGTATATATATATATACACATACATATATGTATATATATATGTATATTTGTGTATATGTATATATATGTTTATATCTTTTCACACAATTTAAGGATATTGCAGTGAATTCTTAATCCTTTCATATTCATATACTAATCTCAGGAAAATGAGACGCTAAGTGTTACATTCCCGTAACGAAACGAAACGTTGGAAATGGTACGTTTTCTCGGTTCTCTCTCGTTTTGACCATTTGACCTATGACTTTTTATATCACAATTTCAGCTTCTCTGGGCAGAATCTGCTTGGGGTCAATTCTCGGTATTAGTATGGGTACGCTTACCTCATTTTTGACACCGGGTATCGATAAAACACACCAATCTAAAAAACTTTTTCTCAATACGTTATCTCTACAAATGAATAATAACGGAGATAATTTCGTAAACAAACTCGTAAGCTTCCTGTGTTTTTTTCCTAGTGCCACGCGTCGCTCTGCGAGGTGGGATGGGGTGGGGGGAGGGGACGGTGTTGGTGGAGTGTGTAACGTCACGCGCCAATTACCTTTGAAGGAGTAACTCACAGACCAATTGAATTGAAGGAAACAATATGTAGCCAATAAAACTTAATTGCCATGGAAAATCATTTGAGAGAAAATAAATAAATTAAGTTTCACTATGGATGCCATTTGCGATGTATTCGATGTGTCCTTGCCAACATTTTGTCAACAAAGCAATTTTGCAAGGAAAACTCGTGCCCTTGATTCTTAAAGGAAGCACGGTGTGCATCCTTCGCGAGGTCAGTGCCCGAAACGCGAGAAACCATGTAAATTAAGTGAGGAGAGACATTGTGGCTCTTCCCTTCGTGAGGTAAAGATTTAATCGTGTAATGGTTCCACAAGGAATTCATGTATTGTTTGAACATCAATCAGCTGTGTCTCGAGTCACGGCATGGGTATTTACCCTGAAGATAACTGCCGCGGGTGTTAGGTCACGGTCATGTTCCATTCGTGTTACCGGGGATCCCTCTTGTCTTACTGTGAATACGAGGTAAAGGTTTGTTGTCCTTGGCAGGTGTTAGGTGTGGCAGCCCCCTAAAAAGCGGGTTCCTCACAATTCTTTTAACAGGGGGCTAGCCCCTGAAAGTGATAAATGCGCGCGTACCGATTGTGATCGCGACAGTTGATAGCCAACCGTCAGAGAGAGAGAGGTAGTGGGCTCGAAAATTACTGTTAAGAGAAATAAGCGAGGAAACCTTAAATACAAAATGCGCATGTGACGGCTGTGTTGAAAAAAAAAAATTGAAATGGTGGTTTGTGGTTAAAATGAAGGTTATAACGTGCGAAACGCAATGAAATCAACTAGAAAAATGTGTTTCGGATGAAATGGCAACCCGCACTTTATTCCGAAAAAAATACCCTGCTTGGGTATGCTTTCATGGACTGTAAATATATTTCACTGCAATATCTTCAGAAGTGTGAACACACACACACACACACACACACACACACACACACACACACACACACACACACACACACACACACACGCACACACACACAAACACGTACTCACTCACTCGCTCACACAAGCATATATTTAAAAGGGAACTGATATGAAAAATCTTTAATTCCCATAATATCCTTAATCTAAATAAAAGATGTAAACGAAAATATGCGAAAAAATCTGAAATGTAAAGGATAATTTAATGTTGATTCTTATTTTCTTTCATTTCTTCAGTTGATTTTATTTCATTTGGATCCATTGTAAATCCTTAGTTGTTAATAATCCAGTTTTAGAATTGCCATGCTACTTCACAACTAGAAATTAAGTTACCTGGTGTCGTAGTGATTTCCATTGTGTTGGACGCGAATGTAAAAGTTGAGGAGAGAGGCAATACCGTTGTTGTTATTTCTGAGGGCGTTGATGTATCCAGCGGTAAAGAGACGCTCGCTGGGGTTGTCAGTTCCGTTGATGTTGATGATTCTGGAGAAGTTGAGATTTCCGTTGATGTTGATGATTCTGGTGAAGTTGGGATTTCCGTTGATGTTGATGATTCTGGAGAAGTTGGGATTTCCGTTGATGTTGGTGATTGTGGTGAAGTTGGGATTTCCGTTGATGTTGATGATTCTGGAGAAGTTGGGATTTCCGTTGATGTTGATGATTCTGGAGAAGTTGGGATTTCCGTTGATGTTGGTGATTGTGGTGAAGTTGGGATTTCCGTTGATGTTGATGATTCTGGAGAAGTTGGGATTTCCGTTGATGTTGATGATTCTGGAGAAGTTGGGATTTCCGTTGATGTTGGTGATTGTGGTGAAGTTGGGATTTCCGTTGATGTTGGTGATTGTGGTGAAGTTGGAATTTCCGTTGATGTTGATGATTCTGGAGAAGTTGGGATTTCCGTTGATGTTGGTGATTGTGGTGAAGTTGGAATTTCCGTTGATGTTGGGGATTGTGGTGAAGTTGGGATTTCCGTTGATGTTGGTGTTTCTGGGGAGGACGGGATTTCCGTTGATGTTGGTGATTGTGGAGAAGTTGGGATTTCCGATGATGTTGGTGTTTCTGGGGAGGACGGGATTTCCGTTGATGTTGGTGATTGTGGAGAAGTTGGGATTTCCGATGATGTTGGTGTTTCTGGGGAGGACGGGATTTCCGTTGATGTTGGTGATTGTGGAGAAGTTGGGATTTCTGTTGAAGTTGGGATTTCCGTTGATGTTGGTGATTGTGGTGAAGTTGGGATTTCTGTTGAAGTTGGGATTTCTGTTGAAGTTGGGATTTCCGTTGATGTTGGTGATTGTGGTGAAGTTGGGATTTCTGTTGAAGTTGGGATTTCTGTTGAAGTTGGGATTTCTGTTGAAGTTGGGATTTCCGTTGATGTTGGGGATTGTGGAGAAGTTGGGATTTCCGTTGATGTTGGTGATTGTGGTGAAGTTGGGATTTCTGTTGAAGTTGGGATTTCTGTTGAAGTTGGGATTTCTGTTGAAGTTGGGATTTCCGTTGATGTTGGTGATTGTGGTGAAGTTGGGATTTCTGTTGAAGTTGGGATTTCTGTTGAAGTTGGGATTTCCGTTGATGTTGGTGATTGTGGAGAAGTTGGGATTTCTGTTGAAGTTGGGATTTCTGTTGAAGTTGGGATTTCTGTTGAAGTTGGGATTTCCGTTGATGTTGGTGATTGTGGAGAAGTTGGGATTTCCGTTGATGGTGATTGTGGAGAAGTTGGGATTTCTGCTGAAGTTGGGATTTCTGTTGATGTTGGTGATTGTGGAGAAGTTGGGATTTCTGTTGATGTTGGTGATTGTGGAGAAGTTGGGATTTCTGTTGAAGTTGGGATTTCCGTTGATGTTGGTGATTGTGGTGAAGTTGGGATTTCTGTTGAAGTTGGGATTTCCGTTGATGTTGGTGATTGTGGAGAAGTTGGGATTTCTGTTGAAGTTGGGATTCTCGTTGATGTGGTGATTGTGGAGACTGTGGGATTTCTGTTGAAGTTGGATTTCATGTTGATGTTGGTGATTGTGGAGAAGTTGGGATTTTCGTTGAAGTTGGGATTTCCGTGATGTTGGGTGATTGTGGTGAAGTTGGGATTTCTGTTGAAGTTGGGATTTCCTGTTGATGTTGGTGATGTGGAGAAAGTTGGGGATTTCCTGTTGATGTTGTGATTTCTGGTGAATGTTGGGATTTGTGGTAGATGTTGATGATTTCTGTGAAGAAGTTGGGATTTCTGTTTGATGTTGTTTGATTTCTGGATGAAGGTTGGGATTTCTGTTGATGTTCGGTGATTTCGTTGATGAAGTTGGTGATTTCTGTGAGTTGGATTTCTGTGAGAAGTTGGGATTTCCGTTGATGTTGATGATTCTGGGAGAAGTTGGGATTCTGTTTGATGTTGGTGATTGTGGTGAAGTTGGGATTTCCGTTGATGTTGGTGATTGTGGTGAAGTTGGGATTTCTGTTGATGTTGATGATTCTGGAGAAGTTGGGATTTCTGTTGATGTTGGTGTTTCTGGTGAAGTTGGGATTTCCGTTGATGTTGGTGATTGTGATGAAGTTGGGATTTCTGTTGATGATTCTGGAGAAGTTGGGATTTCTGTTGATGTTGATGATTCTGGAGAAGTTGGGATTTCTGTTGATGTTGATGATTCTGGAGAAGTTGGGATTTCTGTTGATGTTGGTGATTGTGGTGAAGTTGGGATTTCCGTTGATGTTGGTGATTGTGGAGAAGTTGGGATTTCTGTTGATGTTGGTGATTGTGGTGAAGTTGGGATTTCTGTTGATGTTGGTGATTGTGGAGAAGTTGGGATTTCTGTTGATGTTGATGATTCTGGAGAAGTTGGGATTTCTGTTGATGTTGGTGATTGTGGTGAAGTTGGGATTTCCGTTGATGTTGGTGATTGTGGTGAAGTTGGGATTTCTGTTGAAGTTGGGATTTCTGTTGATGTTGATGATTCTGGAGAAGTTGGGATTTCTGTTGATGTTGGTGTTTCTGGTGAAGTTGGGATTTCCGTTGATGTTGGTGATTGTGGTGAAGTTGGGATTTCTGCTGAAACAGTTGTTTCTTTTGTATTTAGTGTTATACCTGTAGACTGTAGTGATGGACCAGTGGTGGATGTATCCGCTGGAACAGTATTTGATGTAGAAGTTTCCGTAGGTGTAGTTATTACCACTGGAGTAGTACCCGCTTGTGTAAAAGTAGATTCCGATGTTGGTCTAGTTGATACCGTTGCTGGGGATGTACGTGTTTGTGTGCTAGGTGATACCTTTACTGTTGTTGTTTCTATCGGTATAGTAGTTGGTACCGATGCTGTAGATATTTCAAATGTAGATGATTCTGATGCTAATGTTGGGGCAATAGTTGTTACCGATGTTATAGTTATAGGTACTGTAGTAATTAATACCGATGTTGTAGTATCTTCTGATGTACTTTTAGGCTCCGATGGTGTAGTTGTATCTGTTGGTGCAGTAGTTGCCACCGCTGGTATAGTCGTTTCTGATGTACTAGTTAGCAGCGATGATGTAGTTGTTTCTGATGATGTAGTAGTTTGCACTGATGTAGTTGTTTCTGGTGGTGTAGCTGTACCTGTTGGTGTAGTAGTTGATAACGGTGTTGTAGTTGTACCTATTGGCGTAGTAGATGACAACGCTTGTGTAGTCGTTTTTAGTGAAGTACTTGTTTCTGGTGGTGTAATAGTTGACACCGTTGGTGTAGTAGTTGACATTTCTGGTGTAGTCTCTGATGGTGTACTCGACATCGCTGGCGTAGTATCTGACACTGTTGGAGTAGTAGTTGGCACTAAGAGTGTAGTTGCTTCTGGCGGTGTAGTTGTACCTATTGACACTGCTGGTGCAGTCGTCTTTAATGGTGTTGTATTTGACACCGCTGGTGTAGTAGTTGGCACCAATAGTGTAGATGTTTCTGGTGGAATAGTAGTTGACACCGATGGTGTAGTTGTATATGTTGGTGTAGTAGTTGACACTGTTGGTGTAGTCGTCTCTGATGGTGTAGTAGTTGGCACCAATAGTGTAGTTGTTTCTGGTGGTGTAGTTGTACATATTGGTGTAGTAGTTGACACTGATGGCGGAGTTGTACCTGTTGGTGTAGTAATTGGCACCAATAATGTAGTTGTGTTTTGTGGTGTAGTAGTTGGTACCAATAGTGTAGTTGTTTCTGATGGTGTAGTAGTTGACACTGATGGTGTAGTTGTACCTCTTGGTGTAGTCGTTTTTGATGGTGTTGTAGTTGACACCGATGGAGTAGTTGGCACCAATAGTGTAGTTGTTTCTGGTAGTGTAGCAGTTGGCACCAATAATGTAGTTGTTTCTGGTGTAGTAGTTGACACCGTTGGTGTAGCTTTACCTGATGGTGTAGTAGTTGACACTGCTGGTGTAGTCGACTTTGATGGTGTAGTAGTTGGCACCAATAGTGTAGTTGTTTCTGGTGGTGTAGTTGTACCTATTGGTGTAGTAGTTGACACTGATGGTGTACTTGTACCTGTTGGTGTAGTCGTATTTGATGGTGTTGTAGTAGTTGACACCAATAGTGTAGTTGTTTCTGGTAGTATAGTAGTTGACACCGTTGGTCCAGTAGTTGGCACCAATAGTGTAGATGTTTCTGGTGGAATAGTAGTTGACTCCGATGGTGTAGTTGTTTCTGGCAATGTAGTAGTTGACACCGATGGAATAGTAGTTGGCACCAATAGTGTAGTTGTTTCTGGCAATATAGTAGTTGACACCGATGGTGTAGTTGTACCTGTTGGTGTAGTAGTTGACACTGCTTGTGTAGTCGACTTTGATGGTGTACTTGACACCGCTGGTGAAGTAGTTGGCACCAATAGTGTAGATGTTTCTGGTGGAATAGTAGTTGACACCGATGGTGTAGTTGTACCTGTTGGTGTAGTAGTTGACGCCGATGATACAGTTGTTGGCACCAATAGTGTAGTTGTTTCTGGTAGTGTATTAGTTGACACTGATGGAATAGTAGTTTCTAGCGGTGTATTTGTACCTGTTGGTGTAGTTGGCACTGCTGGTGCAGTCGTCTTTGATGGTGTTGTGGTAGTTGGCACCAATAGTGTAGATGTTTCTGGTGGAATAGTAGTTGACACCGATGGTGTAGTTGTACCTGTTGGTGTAGTAGACACTACTGGTTTAGTCGTCATTGGTGGTGGTGTTGACACTGCTGGTGTAGTAGTTGGCACCAATAGTGCTGTTGTTTCTGGTAGTGTATTAGTTGACATTGATGGAATAGTAGTTGGCACCAATAGTGTAGTTTCTGGCGGTGTAGTTGACACCGATGTTGTAGTTGTACCTGTTGGTGTAGTTGACACTGCTGGCACAGACGTGTTTGATGGTGTTGTAGTATTTGGCACCAATAGTGTAGATGTTTCTGGTGGAATAGTAGTTGACACCGATGGTGTAGTTGTACCTGTTGGCGTAGTAGCTGACACCGATGGAGTAGTAGTTGGCACCAATAGTGTAGTTATTTCTGGTAGTGCAGTTGACACCAATGGAATAGTAGTTGGTACCAATAGTGTAGTTGTTTCTGGTGGTGTAGTTGACACCGATGGTGTAGTAATTGGCACTAATGCTGTAGTTGTTTCTGGTGGTGTGGTAGTTGACACCGCTGTGGCAGAAGTTGGCACTAATAGTGTAGTTGTTTCTGTTATTGTAGTAGTTGACACCGATGGTGTAGGTGTAGGTGTTGGTGTAGTTGACACTGTTGGTGTAGTCGTCTCTGATGGTGTAGTAATT